AATAGTTTTTAAACAAATTTGTTTCCAATTACAGAACTTCTGCATCAAACACATGCAGACAAAACTCAGAGCCAGCCTTTTGACCGTCTGCATCTGTTTTCATTCGTGGTTCTTGCTCTGAACGCAGTGATTGTGGCTACAATTGCAGCAAAGCGTTTTGTAAATCAACAGACGGAATACAAATACCAGAGGTTGCAGCACCATTGACTAACTGGTTCAGCCCTAAATGAAACACATTTCTCCCTGATGCTGAAAGAAATGGTACCTCATGGCTACATAGGTTATGAATAAATCAGGAGGGTCCCTTAAAAGCGATGCACAGGGCTTCATGTCATTGTGCCAGTGTGTCTTGTTGCAGGATGACTGAAATCACCAAATATCACATCTGTAAGCTCTCATCTTAGGAATGAAAGGCATTAATGAATGAAAATCATCTCTTCTCATGAATATAAAACATTTTTTTTTAAGTTCATGGGATTAAACTCAGGGGCACTTGGCCACTGAGCCACATCCCCAGCCCTATTTTGTACTTTATTTAGAGACAGAGTCTTACTGAGTTGCTTAGCACCTTGCGTTTTGCTGAGGCTGCCTTTGAACTCACGAGGCTCCGGTCTCAGCCTCCGGAGCTGCTGGGATTACAGGTGTGCGCCACTGCACATGGCAACATAAAACATTTTAAACAAATACTAAATGAAAATAAAAAGGTTACTTTTACTCAAGAAAAGGAGTCTTTAAAGTTAGGTACTTTCATTTTTTAGATGCTAAATAAAAAATGTAAATATAAAATGCAAACAAGGAGCAGCCAATATGCTACTGTCCTGCAGGGGCTCAGATTTGGAAAAAAGGTTTGGGATTCTGGAAGTTGAAAGAAGATGTACCAAGGTGCAGTTGGGATTGTAGACATTTTTTATTCGAAGATGGTAGCAGCCCCCAATCTTCTCCATAGGCCTTTTTTTTTTTTTAATGTGCAGGCAAACAAAGAAGGCACAGTGCCAATAGGTTACATAAATGAGCACATTCTCACAAGCAGATATTCATGACCTTGAGCCCACATGCTGAATCAGGGTGCTTATGACTTTGACTATACGCTAAAACACAGTGGGCTAGAAGTCTCAGGGAGGGAGCCTAACTCTAGCTTCTATATAGTCATAGACTCTAGATGGTTGCCAGAACACGACACTCAGAGTTCTGGCTTCTAATGTAAATCCAGCCATGTTCCCGAGTGCCCGACGCATGCATTGTACCCACAGGACGCTGGAGGGAATACACAATGGATATGAGGGACAGTCTGCTCTCACAGGGCCAGTCTTTAGGGGCCTGATAATTTTCCAGATCCATTCCAGATCCTCCTCCTTTTCTTTTTAATATCTTCAGGTAGTTCTTTTAAGCAGCCACGTAGTGACTCTCTTATGTTCATCACAGAACCTAAATCCAACTACTGCAAACTTTTGAATATTTAGATATTTAATTAGAATGGGAAAATCACATTCAGTACTTAAAACAGCACACCTGTCTGGCAGCTGCTGCCCTTCAGCCACCTCTTCATCAGGGACTGACCAGAGGTTCTCTGATGGCCAACACGGCAGGTAGGCAGAGGCATATCAGGCCCAGATGTGTAATTCTAAGAAAATTGTCAGATTTATCAGAATTATCAAGTACTATGTCTCACTAGAGGGTGAGATCATGTCACCACGAGTCTGAAAAGTCCTCAAGCTGTACTCGTGCATTTTCAGTATGTACGCTACTGTTTAGAATTTTTTTTCTTTAATAAGCACTCTAGGGAGTGATAAAAGGCCCTGGATGTGAAGTTGGTGACCTGAGTTCTGGTCAGGGATGCTGCTCAGGTCACCTTCAGCCTTGGTCACCACAACTTAAAATAGGGGTTGGTAGCAGCTGCCTGTCCCCACTTTGGGGTGTGATGAGGATTACAGGAGAGAACGTGCCAGCACTTGGGGGCCTCCATGCCCCACTCATCACCAGAGGAGTCCTCACTCCCACCCCGGAATCCTACTCGGAATCTGCTTCCTAGGGCCACACTAGCACTGTCATAGGTGAGGGTCATATTGGAAAACAGGCTCTGACGGGAGGCTTCCTGGAATGTGTACTCAGAACCAGCAGGGGAGAAGGAAGCAGGCCCCGGGAGCTGACGGGGTGGGACACAGCTGCAGTCAAGGGCCCAGGCAATCCTGCGCAGCCCTGGAGCTGGCCTGGCCCCTCAGAGGTCCCATCAAGGCACGGTGCTCAGAGCTTTGCGTGCCACCCTAGCCAGTCTGGATGAGGGCTGCTCTAGTCAGGGCTGTGAACTTAGACAAGACAGTTGTCTTGAGCTGAGGGAAATCAGCCACCAACACTCCCAGCAGCCTGGAGAAGGAGTGGCTGGTTGAGGAGCATCTAGGTGTCACCTCTGAGCAGCTACTACACCTACTTCCTCAAACAGCAGGATTTTCAGAATGTCTCACTAGGCAAAGCCACCTCTACGCTGTATCCAAGAGACTTGCTTAAAGTGTTTCAGAAAGACTAAAAACAAAGGGACTGGCAGTGGAATACCAGGCACAGACAAACAGAAGGGCCAGGGAGTAGAATCCAGGCCACCTGCATGGCCTCTGCTGTCCAAGGGGGTAGAGTCACCTTGTCACTGCTGGGCACGGGTGAGAGCCTTGGCTTGCCACTGGGCCCTGCTCTGACCAGCGCAGAATGAAAGTTTCTGCTTGTCTTTTCCACATAGCGGTAGAAATGGAAGTCCAGGCTCTCCACCTGGTCTGCACCTGACATGGGTGTGCAGGTGAAGGCCTCACTGTGGTCCAGAGCTGATGAGCATCCCAGTGCCCACCTGTCCTCTCTGACATGCTCCTGGTGAGGTGAGGAAGGAGGGCAGGAGTGCTGGCGGAGGGTGAGACACAAGGATCCTCACTCCACCTTTGCAGGCTGGGGAGGAGTTGGGCCCTGTGTTCCCATGATGATTGGCTGGAGGACACTTTCTGCCTAACAGTTTGCTGTCTTGCTAGGTGGCCCCTTTGCTGGTTCTTTGGATGGAAAAAACAGCCTTCCCTTGAGCTTCTCTTGGTCTGTACCCTTGGTGCTCCTGATCATAGGCCTACCCCTGTTTTGTGCCTTTTGATCCATGGGGCAGGAATGTTGCATAGTGACCTTGGCTTTCAAGCCTTAATAGTCTTAAGAACCATTTCAAGTGTTTTAGATAGAGCCGCTTCCCAGAGGAATTCATATTCAGCTTTGTTTGGACTTTTACTTAGTTACTTAAAAAAAAATGTTAGTTCTTTCATTGTCAGTACTTTCCACACTAGGAATTTGTTAAAAGTCGTAAAATGCTGGATATTCCTAGCTATTAGCCTTTACTTCCTCCACACACTGTGGATAGGCAGTCAATGGGCAGATGAACTGTGGAGAGTAGAAACTCTAGCAGCCCCCGATTACCCAGGAAAACCCCTTGATTCTTTTAAAGTTCTTGAATGAAACAGGTGTGAAAATTACTGTTTTATATGACTGAAGATGAAGCTCCTCAGGGATAAATAATGAATTTGATTTAAAAATGTCATTTTCACCAAATTGGCCACTAGTTATATTTCTTCAATTTCTATGTGTGAGAACATCATCAAAATGTATATTGGCATCATATTTTTCTGAGGCAGTTCCTGACTGAGGACACGTCTGTAATAAAACTGAGATGCTCCCCTTAGAGGCAACACCTCTTTGGGTCACTTATCAGATTTTCACTTCTCAGGACCTAAGGGTTAGTTCCCAGATCCCACTGGGAACTGCCCTCCTCCCTGAGGGACTGGATGTCTGTAGTCTCAGCTCAGGCATGCTGTTTATCCACAAAGGCCAAAATAATTTCTTGGAGGTGGGGACTCATATTTTCTTTTTTTTTGTTTGGTATGGGGGAGTGAATTCAGGGGCACTCAATCACTGAGCCACATCCCCAGCCCTATTTTATATTTTATTTAGAGACAGGGTCTCACTGAGTTGCTTAGCACCTTGCTATTGCTGAGGCTGGCTTTGAACTTGTGATTCTCCTGTCTCAGCCTCCTGAGCTGCTGGGATTATAGGCATGCACCACTGCACCTGGCTCATACTTTAAATATTACAATTGAATATTTCTTGAGAAGTGAAAGAAAAAAATAAATCATCTGACTGTGTCTTTCAATACAACTTTGAAGGTAGTGAGTCTAGGCAGGTCTCTTCCAGTCAAGAGAAATAGATTAAAGTGGGTGCTGTCTCCTTTAACAGGGGATGCTGGGATATGCTTGTCTTTCCTTGTTTGCTTTTAAATTTCTTGTGTACTTTTCAAATTTTCCAGATGCTTTTGCAATCTGAGAACCAGACTGAGAACATGAGCATGTGGGTTCTTGGCAGCTCAGAGAGCGGACGCTGTAGTTCTTGATTTATGCATTGGCCTATCTTTGTAAGCTGCAACCTAAACCCCACAAAGCTCCACCTAGTTCCCTTTGAAACAGGACAATTAAAGCTTGTTTGGTGAATCAATGGCATGTGTGATTCAACTGTCCTGTATTAGAGTGTAGAGAAAAATGAGCAGTGGCTTCCTGACAGGTGCTTGGTTTCTTTTTCATAAGACTCTTGGTGAGATTTGAAAATAATTCTCACACCACAAGTGGGATAGAAGCAGGGATCCATCCACTTATTAGCATCTGAATAATAAGGAACCAAACTGAAGACATAATCTTTAAATTGGCCATGGGGTAGGAGAGAACCCTGCTTTTGATAATAATTTGTACACTTTAAGACAACAGTTCTCGATAGTGAAGAATTAGAAAATCAGCATTTTGAGCCTACAAAGAGTAACTGCCTTAGAAGTTCGGTAACCAGAGAAGGTTTATTTAGTGACACACCTCAGAGAAGCGGTCTCTTCTGTTTCTTTCACCTGTCTCTACGTAGATAATTTCTGATTTGTCAAACACTGCTTCACTGAAGGAAATGGACCTTCCTTCCTACTTTCTAACAGATTGACATGAAAGCTGCAGACATCACACCAGGGTCTTGCTCTGAGCAGCTGCTCTGTGGATCTCCAGTGGCCCGACCACTGGGAAATGCTCAGTCTGCTTTTCCTTGGCCTCAGCGAGGCCTGTACCTCTCCTACTCCGCCCTGCACAGCTCTGGGAGCAGCGAGAGGAAGAGTCCCCTTCTCTACACACAGCAATCTCACACTTCAGATAGATCACATCGTAGCGGTCAAGAAAGCCGAAGGCGTTGAATTTGAACTGGGCCACATTCTTCTGGTGGGATTGGAGGTTGGCATAGCTTTTGTCTTTGATGCACCTGGTGGGAAAAAAAACCCCAAGCCCAAGAGATTAATCTTAAGTATAGTGTGAAATTGCTCTAAACCACAGACCTCTGAAATCCAGATGGAGTCTTTCTACTACCCACTCCAAAGAAATGACTAAACTGTGTTTTAACACTACTATGAATGGAAAGTCACTATTCCTAGCCACAAAATAAACACAGTGAGAACAAGGTAATTACATACCAGCTACAACTCTTGCCTTCAGAAGGATTAGTCTATTTTGTCCAAAAGGAAGATTATAAGTGGGTTGTATTATTTGAAGATTATTTAATTTTATTTTTAAATCTTAGGGCAGCCACTGAAAAAGTGAAGGAAAGAAGTATAGACAACACATCAAAAGGAGCTAAAATGGAATCACAGAAAATGTTCAATTAAAACCAGAGAAGGCACCAAAAGGGAGGGTGGGAGGAGAAACAAAGAACAAATACAATGCATAGATGTTTGATTTTAATTTAACTCTCTCAGCAACATGAATAGTCCAGATATGCCAATTTAGAGACAGAGTAGATAAAAAAAGTGTAGATTTAAAAAACAACAACAACAAAGATTGAGCTAGAGTTACACATTGTCTCCAAGAAACCCACTTTAAAATCAAAGACACAGACAAAAGTACAGGGATGGAGAACGATACTTCATGTGAACACTAATCAAACGAAAGCTGGGGCAGCTGGGTCAATTTTCAATAGAACAAGCTTCCGAGACAGGTAATTATCAGGGACAAAGAGGGACATTATATAACATAATCAAGCCTCCAAGAAGATAATCTTTAACCAAGATAACCAAGATAAGGATTAGTCCTTAATCCAATTCACAAACCTCAACGTACACCCTCCCTACAGTGGAACATCAAAACACACAGGCAAACTGACAGAACCGCAAAGAGAAACTGACAGACTCGCCACCACAGCTGGACACTCCAATATCCTTCTATCAGTGATTGGCAGGCCCAGCAGGCACAAAACCAGAAGGGATGTAGATGGCCTAGGGCACCTTATTAATGCACCAGAGCTAACTGGCGTTTCTAGAACACTCCATCCAAAAAAAGCAGAATACACATTCTCCTCAAGCCCACGTGGAATTTCATCCAGAAAGACCACATTCTGGGCCATAAGAAGCATCTTAACAAATTGAAAAGAATAGAGATCACACAAGATACATTCTCAGATTATAATAAAATTACACTAGAAATCAATGACAGAATATTGCTGGAAAAAAAAATTCCCCAATATAGAGAAAGTAGACCACACACTTTTAAACAACCCATGGGGCGGTCTCAAGCGATGTTTAAAAATATTTTGAACTAAGTGAAAATGAATACCCCACATCAAAATTTGTGGGAGATAGCTAAGATGGTGCTTGAGAGGGCAGTTCACAACATTCAAAATACATAGATTAGAAAAGAAGAAATCAATCATCTCAGTTTCAAAAAACTAGAGAAAGAAGAACAAATTAAACATAAAGAAGAAAGAAAATGTGTTGGTTGTTAGATTCTGGAACCAAACAGAACCTCTTGCCCTAATACATTCATAGGGATTCTTCACTCTGGGACTCAGGGCAGGTTAGTGCCACTGCGTGCACCTCCTGGGCCTGTGCTCACACCACTGTGGCAGGTGCTGTCTTGCTCCTCCCTTGGCCTTTGGAGGAGTGATACAGTGCTTCTCATGGGCTTTAGACCACTGCAGCTTTCACGCTGCTAATGGTGCTGTTGAAAAGCGATAATGTTTTGGTGGCAACTGCCTATCCATTAACATTTTGTCCCTGTTAGGGGACAAGGGAGCTAGAAAGACAAACCACTTGCCTAAGTTCTAATTTGGAAAGTCACTTGGTTAGCCAAAGGAGCCAGAGAAATCTCACTAGAATAACTAAGCTTAGTTTGGGAAACCCATCAGCCCATCAGTATTGGTCAAAGGGGATCATGAGTGGGAGTCTTAACCATAAAACTAGAAAGAAAGGGAGGCTTAGGCCTGAAAGGGTAGAACAGAGCAGCAGGGGTCTGTTCAGGAGTGCTTGGCGTGTCAAGGGAGGTTGTTCAGGCTGCCTATTACTATATCCCCCACTGGGATCCGGGCTAGGAGGACCCCCCCACTCAGCCTCTGGTGAGGACCCTTGCACAATGCTCCAGGTTAGGACCTCCAGATCAGAGGCCACAGGTTCCTAAAGGAATGCCGTGTGGATATTGCAGTCAACAAGGAAGGACTTCCATTTTCCTTACCCCTTCTGGATCAAATCATACTTGATGGTTGTGAAATCATGGGGATCCGGAGAAGCCACACAAGTATCCACGAAGACCCTCAGGCTGGGATCGGCGCTATGGAGGGTGGCCTGGAGGAAGACCTCTTTCCTCTGGCTGTCGGAGTATGGTACCATGACAGGCTGGGACCCGGGAGACTGGATAAATGAAATGGACACATCGTAGCCGGCACCCTCTGTCTGGTCATCAGCTCCATGAACGACTTCAACTGTGGGCAGATTGTTCACCTTGCAGGTGAATTTCACCTGGGGCACCTTGTGCCGTACAACCACTCGGCCCGAGTGGCCCCGTATCCGGCCTCTGATGGAGTTGGAGTAGCTGAGGGAGCCGAGGTGTTCCTGTGAGGACAAGAGGGGAGCTGGTGGCCAGTGCTCCTGGCTCCCTGATAAGCACCTGCCCCGAGACCTCTCCTCCCTCTCCTGATGGGCACCAGCTCATTGATGTGCTGGAGGGCACTCCTGGACCTCTGGGGAGCTTAATGCCAGGAAGGGATAACACAGTGTGTGGGTGCTGTGGGAGCTCCTGGTGGGCGGGAGGGCCAAGCTGTGCCCCTATGAGCTGGGTGTCAAGCCCATGATGGCAGCCTAGAGCTTGCTCTCTCTTGAGTCCCTGAACATGCTCCACTCTCTCAGCCACCCCCAGGCCACCCCATGCTGTGGCTCGTGTTTCCTGCCTACCCTTGAGCCCCAGACCAGTCTGGCTTCAGGTGAGCTTCAGGCCTGACCCTGCGGCCGTTGGCCCCAGCCTTGCTCCTTCAACTCCAATGTGACTTGCAGAGGATGAGGGGATGCTGACAGCGGTCCCTGCCTCTCGCTGCCTCCTTCCTGTTCCCTGCGTGGAGGTCTAGAGGCTCAGCTTGTGTAGGGCCTTTGGCTTAGGAAGCTATAGCATCAGGACTCCGATCCTGGACTCCCTGCCTCGGGGCCCTTCCCTCTCTGCCCTCTCTGCCAGCTGAGGCCAGTGCTTCTCAACCTTTTCTCCATTATGGTCTTCGGAAGGAGTTTTCTAGACCCCTTCTTTCCTACTCATCCTGCTCTCTTTCCGGCCCCCATAATATGACAAATATATCATTTGTGTAATACTCACATTTTATCCATAAAGGAAGATTTTATTGCTTTTGCTCCTAAGAACCAACATCTAGCTCTCCTCCCCCACAAGGGGTAGAACTGCCCTCCTTGAGAATGTACAGCTTAAAACAAAAGCCAAACTCCATGCCTCGAGGCCCTGTGCCCTTCTAATCTGCTCCTGGACTCTGGCCCTGAGTTTCTTCCTCACCCACCCACAACCAGCTTGTGGCTGCCCCACCCTGCTCTAGCGGAGGCCTGGCGCGCCTCTCCTGCGCCTACCCGGCCGCTCCACCTCGCCACTCAGCCTTGGCTCCTCAGCCACCACTGTTTAAAGTGGTATCCCTTCCGCCCCATGCCATGTCCCAATGACAGTTCTTGTTTGATGACCTCTTTCCCCTCTTCACTACTCAAAAGACTCGTTCAGGGCTCAGCTCTGTTTCCTTGAACAGAAAAGCCATAGGGCAGGAACCGTCAGTTCTGCGGCTGCCATGTCCTTAGCACCTAGGTGACTGCTCAGCCACTGACTTTGAAATCAGACCCAGAACCTTCCTGTGACAATGTTTTCCTCAGGGTGCCCTTGGACTGGCCTCCATCCTCTGTGGTTGCTGACTGCTGTGCTCTGAGGTCAGAACATGGGCTTTTCTAGGCCAGCTGGACCAGCCAGGGCCAGGCAGGACATCTGTAGGATCCTCCCCATAGACCAGCAATGCCTGGGGCTGCCCACCTTCCAGACATGTGGGGGCTTCCAGCATGGCCCTGGGGGCAGGGACCTCTGAAGTGGACCACAGAAATGAAAGGATAAGAATGACCATGGTCTGTCATTGAATCACCATTGATCTGTCATATCAGATCAAATGTGAAGTATGGAATTCATGGTTCTTTTGGGTCATGTAAATCGTTTGAATGAATCTGACCTCCAACAACGTCAGGTGGGCTTTTTGTAGGTGTCTAAATGGGGATTAAGGATCTTGCTTTGGAACATATTATATCATTAATTATACTGAGAAAAAGGATGACACAGTTGTACATTTTTCCTACAGCATTAGTATGCTAGTTTCCTAATTTCAATGTCATGGTTTTGTGAAATAAACAGGTAGTTAAGGAAAATTAAATAGGCATATAAACTTGCTATTCACAAATATTCTAGATGTCTGCTTTCCAGTTTGTGGAACATAGCCAGGTACTTGGTTTGAAATATAACAGACAAACAATCTGTCCTCCCTCATCTGCACAACAGCTGCACATGGCAGGTGTGCCCTAATGCCCAGGCTAGAAGTCTGCTGTGGAAAATGCTTTGGCTTCAGAGCTAAGAGAATACATTGATCCACTCGTCCATCCATTCACATATCTGTCATACATCAGCACTCAACACCTGTTGCAGCGTATCCCAAGTTCAGTGTCCTAAATTCCCCAGAGGATGGAAAGTTTCAGACAAATTATTGAGCTTCCCTAGGTCTCCAAAAACTGAGAAATGAAGTCATGGCTGAGTTTTTCCTCTGTCCTGACACAAGTAGTTCAGGTTTCCAAGGTCCTCTCCTTGGTCTCCATCCTTAGAAGGGTACCACCTCCTTACGGATTTCTTACCTGCCGGACAGTGCCGCAGTGGCCATATGGAATGTTGAAGATCAGGAAGCGCCCACTGACTTGTGGGCGACACAGATTATCATTTAAGTGGATGTCCCAGGAGGAGTAGCCCAGTCTCCGGAGATAGCCTCGGTCTATGACAGCTCGGAAGAGGTGGGGCAAGCAGAAGAGCTGGGCTGCAGAATGGGGAGATCTTGACAAAGAGGACCTGGTGCAACGGACTTGTAGGTCAGATGTGTGGGTGTGTTTATTTCTAAAAATACCATGGGCGGTGCTCTGGGCAGGGGCTGGCTCAGTTCTCTTTATCACCAGCCAGGACTTGACTTTCATTGACTTTATTTATATCCCCTGTGATGGCTTGCATCTGGAATGCCCCTCAGAGGCTTAAAGTTGTCTGGGGCTTTGGGGAAGTGATGGGATCCTTATCAGTGGATTGGTCCATTGATAGCTGGATGAACTACTGAGAGGTGGTGGGCACACCAGGCAGCAGGGCATGGTTGGAGGAAGTAAGTCACTGGGAGTGCCCTGGAAGAGTTATTTCTCATCCTCAGTCCCCCGACCCCCATCTCTCTCCTTCTCTGCCTCCTGGCTGCCATGAGCTGAGCAGCCTTCCTCTATCACACCTTTCTGCCATGATGTTCTGCCTTACCTCAGGCCCAGAGCAATGGAGCCTGCTGACCACAGACTGAAACTTCTGAAACCATGAGCCAAAATAAATGTTTCCTCCTTTTTTTTTTTCAGGCTATTTGTCATAACAATGAAAACTGACCAATACATTCCCCCTTGTCCAAAAAGGCTTTAAGGTCAAATCACATCCACAGGGAATCCTGCCCATAGCACATTTCCCATGGGCCATGAGATGGAGCTTTATCTAAGAATTTAAAGGACAGCTTGTTTTCTATAAGAGAAAAGCTGAGCCCGGACCTGTCTATCTGGGTGTTGGCGTGGAGATAAGCTGGAGGCAACCAGTGAGAGCCTGGGTGCTAAGGGGCTTCTCTGCCAACCTCCTCCAGCCCACGGTGGACAGAAACCTCAGAGGTCTCAGTGGAAACACAGGTGGGTCCCCCTCACAGCAGCGTTTTCCTCCCCATTCATCTCCCTCTTAGCTCCCCCTTTTAGTAGCCTCAGATCTTTGAAGGAAGATGACTTTACCATTGTCCTTGGGCACAGCAGAGTCCGCTGGACCTGGCAAGGAGAGATGATGAGGGCAAATGTCAACAGAGCTGAAACACGGGCAGAGGATGCCGTAGACAAGAATAAGCTAAGTGGTCTCGTCTGATTTGCTACTAAAGCTGGAATACAATGGCATGAGAATAGTCCAGGGCCTGCAAGGGAGAGGACGGCCCAGGCATTCCTGATGGAGCTGGATCCTGGCACGTGTGGACTAGAGTTGAGACTATGGGTCTCATCAACAGCAGGACTTGTTGGAGCAAGAGACAGTAAGCACAGGACTTCCAAGCTGATAAATACCATCATAGGCAGGAACTCTGGCTGATGTTCCATTTCATGAATATGGCACACTTGGGACTTCAGGCTGAGAAGCAAAACAGGACAGTACCCTGGGCCCCACTCAGCCCAGGAAGCATGGCTGGCCTGATTCACTCAACCCCTTCAGACACTTTGGGCCCCAGACCACTGGTCCTTTGGACATTGTAGTCCATGAAAGGAAACCCACTGGGTATATAACACAAGAAGGAAAAAGGGATTGTCATTGAGAGTGGGTCTCCTGACAGCACTAGGAATGGATGGAACTGCAAACAGGCACAATGAAAATGATCTAAAAGGTAAGGACCCCATGACCCCAGTGCAGACTCAAATTGCTTGGTTCTCTGCAGAATTAGTGTTGTCACCAAGGGGCTCTGATAGCTTTCCTACTTGGGCTCCACCTGTATGCAAAACCAGGTAGCACCTACATAAGGGTAAAGGCAATGGCAGCAATTCCTTTGATCACCTGTAAAAAACTAAGAATGGAACAGACAACATGAGATCAGACTCATGCAAATCTTAGAATTCCGTAACTGCGTGAGATTTACAGGTCAACTTAGGGCTAACTGAGGACAAATGCAAGTGACCCCTACTCTATGCAGAAGGAAGTCATCCTGTGGAAGTCAGATGCCAAGGACAATGCTGAGTGACAATAAAATATATTCCAGGAGCAGGCGTTGTGGCTCAGCAGTAGAGCCCTCGCCCAGCACCTGTGAGGCGCTGCGTTGAATAGTCAGCACCACATAAAAATAAATAAATAAAATAAAGGTATTGTGTCCAAATACAACATAAATGTATATTCCAGCAGCCAAATCTCAGCCAAATCTCAGATAAAAAGGACACAAGGGAATCTGGGACACTGTGGGTGTCTTTTTGACTTCTGAGGGTTAGGTCAGGATGCTATGTCACCTTGGGATTGCACCCTTGGAGGCCTCCTCAGAGACTGAAAAAGGAAGGGGACCAACTGCAGTCGGACAGAAGCAGGATCTACGCCCTTCATCATTTTATGACTTTAACTCAACCTTTTAGCTATATTTCAGAACAAATATGGCACTGAGTTGGAATTAAATAATACTGATAAGTCAACTTCTGAGCCTGATGGTTAAAACACTGACCACCTAGGTATCCTGCCGTTCCTGGGATGCTGAGTTTGGACCTGGGCGTGCTCAGGGGTGGTGCTGGGCAGAGCCTTGGGACACTCCCAGGCCCAGGACGCCGAGGAGCCGGTACCTGCGCAGAACACGCCTGCGTCCTCGCTGTGCCTGCAGTTGTGTCGCGCCCAGCCCGCGTGGGCACAGCGCTCCAGTGCGTCCTCGTGGCCCGTGCAGCGCACGTCGTCCATCAGAATGGGCCCGATGCCAGGGCCGAATCGGCCGCGGCCCGGGGCGCCCAGCGCTCGGCCGCAGCCCAGAAGGCGGCACACGACGCGGGCGTTCCTGATGTTCCAGTGGTCGTCGCACACCGTGCCCCACACGCCCTCGTGCCGCACCTCCAGCCGGCCCTCGCAGCGACCCCGTCCGCCCGCCAGGCGCAGAGCACGGTCTGCGGGCAAGAGACAAGGTCAGAAGCTGCACCTGGGCGTCCACCCTGCACACCTCTCAGGTTTGTCACTTGCAGCAGGAGATATGACGCAGGAACGAGTTCTATTTACGGTTTTGCTGTTCCTAGTTCTCTCTCTCCTTCAAAGTCAAGTTAAGTTACCCTCAAGGAGTGTCCTTTATGGGCAAGCCTAGTTTCCCAGACACTTAGAATTTAATCTTGTAACAAAAACACAAAACGCAAAAAGAAAAATAATAGTACTATCAGGTAAAAATCAAACAACTCTCCTCCCAGTCTTTACAAAAAGGTTATTCTAAATTAAAGCTCTGTCCTAACTCATCCAACAAAATATGTCCTATGAAATTACTTTTACTGTTGATGAGTAAGAGCTTATATTTTAACTATAAAAACAATATCATATAACCTAGCTATTCCACTCCTCCATGTTTACTTAAGATGCATGAAAACATGTGCCCACAAAAAGATTTATACATAGTAGAATTTTCCATGCACATTAGCCTCAAACTGGAAACAACCCAAGTACCCAGGCATAGGAGAATGAATAGATTGTGGATGCACATTATGGAATATTACTAAATAAAGGAAAGGATCCATTACAACACATGGGATGAATCTCAGAAACAATTTAAATAAATTAAGACACAACAGGATTTCATATTATTTGGTTTCATTCCATAAGATTCTAGGGAAAAAACCCAAATTACAAAGCTAGAAAGCAGACCAGATGTTACCTAGTGAAGGAGTGAGAGTCTTAATGCCCAGGGGCATGAGGGAATTTCCCCGGGGTGATGGAAATATTCTATGTCTTTTTTAATATTCTATGTTTTGCTCATGGTGGCAGTTACATTAGACAAAACTTGTAGATGTGTGTAATTGTATATAAGTGATTTAAAGAGTAAAAACAATCAAAAGAAAAACTTGTAGTTGTGTATTGCTTAACAATGAGGATACCGTCTGAGAAACATGTTGTTAGGTGACTTTGTTGAATAACATCATAGAGAGTACTTACAGAGGAAGATAGCTACGGTATCTCAAGGCCATATAATCATATGGGACCACAGTCACATATAGGATCACCATTGACTGAGATATTGTTATGGGGCACATGACTGTATTATGTTCATGTGCCATACCCACCGATGTCTAAAATTTTTTTTGCATGAATTGGCTTGTAGTGGCTGTATTTTTAATTTTCTGCACTGTTTGCCATATGGAAGAAGCTTAAGGAGTGTTAATAAATCCCACTCATCAGTTTTTCTGGTGGCAGTATACCAGTCCAGGATGACTGCTCTCCCCTGGCTTACCTGGCTGCTGCAATATTGGAAACATGATACCCAGGCTTGTTTGAACTGGGACTATGGGGGCCGGGGTGTAGCTCAGTGGTAGAGCACTTGCTGGGCATGCTAGGGACCTGGGTTTGATTCCCAGCATGGGGTCAGAGGTATGAGTGTGAGTACCCATCTTGAGTGAGGTCTTGGGAGGTGAGTTTTGGGTGGACCCATGACCCACAGTGTGTGTGTCTGTACATATACAAAGAACTAGCTCATAACAAAATTTAAGTGCAAAAGAAAGAAGATCCAAACAGTATTATTAGCGCTCTGAAACAAACAAAACTTACCAGGTAAAGGGACCATTTCTTCTTCAACTGAAATTGTAACTGTAAAAAAATGAAATCCTTAAAATGAGTCCCCTCAAAGTCACATATTTATAGTCAAAGTGGAAGAGGAATCAAATGTATTCTCTAATTCTGGACAGCCATACTTTTGTTTAAGCTTCTACTTTTGTTTAAATGTAGAAATACTGTCCAGTAAGTTTTATTTTCTTGGCGTCAAAATATAATAAGTGGTCTTACATGCTGTTTAGTCTTCAGAAAAAAATAATTTATTCAATGGTCATAAAAGATATATAAATATACTGAATTTTGATCATTACCAGGTGATGGAGTCACTTTTGCTGAAATTGAATCTGTAGCTGCCAAAAAAAAATTACAGTTGAAAAGGAAGCATTAAAATTTAGCCTCATTGTGATTTTACACTGTAGACTACAAGTTTATGAAAACAAGCCTGTTCTCCTGAGGGGTATGCACTTATTTTGTGGATTTACCCATTCAGGATGAAATGATCGTGTATGAGAAGTTGGCATTTTGTAAGATGGAGCAAGAATGATTCTCATTTGCAGCATCCACAACCTGTCAGGTAATCTATGTCTCTAAAGCTCACGATGACCAACCCAGGAGTGTGTTTTCTGATTTTAGAAAGGAGGCTCAGAGGGACTGTATAACATGACAAGGTCATGCGCAGTTCAAACCTGTAGGGCCACAGAGCACAGATTCTCAGCACTCTGCTTTTCCTGAGCTTAGGATCTGGGAGTTGTTCACACCAGGCTCAGGGTGGTGACTCAGGGAGGAGGAGGGTCTGCGGCCACCACTCCGGTCCTCACCCTGAGGAAGGTCTCCTGTAGCAACAGGAAGAGATTTGGGCTGTCAAGCTTTCCAGAAGTGCCACCTGATCTGCACCCAGTTGACAGCCATAAAGAAAGCCTGCCTCTTGTCCTGTCGAGAGCCAGTGGGGACCACCAGGGAGGGGATTGTCTGATGTAAATGGAGACCTGGTGAAGGCCAGAAAGGAAGGTGGTGAGGAAATGCGAAATGGAGGGCGGGAGGGGAGGAGTGAAGGAAGCCATGTCATCCGCAAGGGAAAAGGAAGGACTAACCCTCGGCTTCACTGAGCTTTACCCCCTGTATGGCCAAAGGAACCAGGGCTTGACAAAGGAAGAAAGAAAGGAAACAGAAGCTCAGCAGAGCCTCATCACTGAAGATGTCGCTGTGCGGGGACAGGGGGGGTCCCACAAATGGATTCATTAGCAAAGCCTGGGAGCTGAAACGACATTGGATGGGAGTTGGGATCTGGATTTGCCTGACCCAACTCTGTGACCTCAGGCACATTTTCCTTCAAAATGAAGGTGGTGGTTCAGTTCTTTACACCTCCAACGGGGTCCATAACCAGCAGCACTTGCTTCACAGGGGAACCTGTTAGAAATGCGGAGTCCAGGCTCTATCAGGAGCCACTGGATCTGCGCTTGAACAAGTTCTGCAGGAGGTTCACATGCACATGAGAATCTCGTTGGAGAATCGCTGGTCTAGGTCAGCTCTAAGGGCTCCTCTGGGCTCAACATTTGAGGTTCTTTTGTCCTGTTCAATCTGCCCAGCACCTCCCTTCAATGTTCAGTTTCATAACCAGTGATGGGAACTGGTCTGGAACCCTCTGGACTTGACTAGCCTCCCCTGACCTTGCCTAAGGAAACAGGAAGTGTCTATTCTAGGTGTAATAATTCTTGCTGGGCTGAGGATGCTCAGGAAGTCACTCACAGGGACTGCAAAGAGCAGAGAGCATACCTGGTGAAGAAGGAGCTTCTCCTGAAGGCGGGGGAGTGGGAATTGTGTCTGTGAATGGAGAAGAATGTTTTGGTTTGACCCACAGAGTCAGAAAATTGAAGAGCAAATGAGCAGAATCAACACCCTCACAACCCGGCTCTCTGTGCGGGTGCTGGGGTGTGCTGGCTGGCTGGCAGCATGGCCTTCACCATAGCACACGCGGCCAAGCAGGCAAGGTGTGGACCCCAGCCCTGTCCTCCCCCGGGTGTGTCTGATCAAGACCAGGGCAGCAGGCAGAGAGTGTTCCTGCTGGAGGCGCCTCTTCTGTGTCTATGGCTGAGCCAAGGGGCGTGGCGCTCCCTCTCTGAGGAGGATGCTGGGCTCTCTGTGCACGGGTCTTGGGCCATGGAGTGAGCATCGATGCATGTGTTCATTGCCAGAGAAAAAGTTGATCATGTTTAACTCAGGAAATGTGACAGGGAGGAACATTACCAGAGAAAGCGTCCACTTCTGTTGAGGCTGAAGTTGCATCTGTGTATAAACCAAGAGAACAGGACTCTGGGAACTGAGTGTGGCAGTGCTGGGTGTCATTTCCTTGCGCTTCACGTTGTGGTCCACGTGGTCATTAGTAGGCTCTTTTCCTTTTCTTTTTTCTCCAACCCTCCCTCCCTGCCCCTCCCTCTTTTCCTCCCTCCCTCCTTAATCTCCCTCTCTCTCTTTTCTTTTTTTCGAATAAACATGAAGGGTTTATTTAGAGAAATGCAAGTACTCCAGAGGATGTGGAGTGGGCTGTCCCGAGCAGGAGGTGGCCTCATGACTTCTTTTTTAGATTTTTTCCACAATGTCTTTATTTTATTTATTTATATGTGGTGCTAAGGATCAAACCCAGTGCCTCATGCATGCTAGGCAAGTGCTCTACCACTGAGCCCCAGCCCCAGCCCCAGCCAGTGCTGTGACTTCTGTGTTGTGGGTTCTCAAGATCTGCTTGGGATCCCCCCACCCTATGAACTATTCATTTGTGTGGTTACAGCCATTTCCACCTAAGCTTAGTGCACTGGTGGTTGCTTCATTTTCTAAATAGAGTGCAACAAATAAGAAGCAAAGCTCATGGATTTGAAAAGCATAGTGGGAGACTTTACCAGTTAGAGAGGTTGCATCTTCTGGGGTTGAAGAAACATCTGTAGATAAAGGGGAGAAGGGACTTAAGTACCTTTGGGGGCACACCAGGCTTCTGTTCTTACCGAGGTTGCACTGGGGCAAAGTTTTCATGAAGCCAACTAGTGTGATAAACAGAGCTCTAAGAAGAGGCACTTGAAGGGACGACAGGCAGATTGTACCTGGTGAAGAGGTCACAGCAGTTGGGATGGAAGCTGCAGACAAACAGAAACAGCAAGGAGGTGATTAGTCATGCCAGGGGCCGTGGTTCCAGAAGATACAGGAACATCGCGGTGGTGCCTTAGATCTGCATTACTGGCCAGGCCTGTCCTCCTGATTTTCCAGACAGTGTGCAGCAGGCCATCCACTGCTTGCAAGCCATGTCCCCAAGCCTGGGGTCTCCATTCCTGAGGCCCACTCTTCCCTTCTTCCCGTGGAGCTGGAGATGACCCGT